AGCGAATGCAGAACGCACAATCTCCATCAACCTCGGCAGGAACGGTTTTAAACGTTCTTTACATGAGATGGTCACCAAACCAATGGTTAAAAATGCCTGAGCCCGGATTTTTTCGCGGCTTGTGCATGTTATCATATAGTTCATAGTTTCGGCCAAATACCTGAACAAGTTGACTGTTGAAGGGAATCTTCAAAGGAATCTGAATGGAATATATGAGGCCGTAACGCCTTATTACATATCAGCTATGGTACTCTCCCTCGAACACCCTTTAACCCCTGACAAGGGCAGTAACGCACAACTCTTGCAAATGAAATCTTACGCATCAAAAGCGGCAACGTTGAACGCTACCAATCGTGGAATAAGTTGCAGGATGATATTCATGTTGTATATGCTCTTCGCAGAGCGACATCTCAAAACGCCCATGCATATCTGAAAGTGCGGGCTTCGGTAATGGCAAAACGTGACAGTTCTCTGTGCGTACTTCGTCATAGTTTTCGGACACCTGTGTCCGACACGTTTTGCTTTCGAACAGAACAACGTTGAAAGGCGCCACAAGGCGGCTGATCACATCATCAGTATCACGCTGATTAGAAGCAGGAACGCTCGAGATTGCTAAAGGCTTAAATAGGCTTGTAACATAATTACCATTCAAACGAGACTATAACAAAAAAATTAAAAAATCATCAAAAAAATTACATTACGCATGAACAATAATACAAATGGCAAACACCTGAGGATAGACGATCGTATATCCATATGTACAAAGTCCAGGTAAAGTATCAAACTACAATAAGTGCAACATGTAATACTGCTTTCATTGAGACCATATGTGCGTACAGACCGTATGTACCCATGTTAACTCTCCATAAAACAACTACAGAGTCTCCGTTGCGAAGGGCGGACAACGGTTAAAATACGTTTGCATGAAAATGCGGTGGAATACATACTTCTCGCTGTTGCCGTAGCCATAATAAACCCTGAAAAGAAGGGCTAACAAAACTGGTAGTGCTCTTTGTCTATTAATGCAGCTCTGTATAGGAGAATGATACTAAGACACAAAATTAGGCGGAATAATGAGGTGAAGCCATTCGTATTATCTCCACAAGTAGCACGGTTACAACTTTGCATCATGTTATTTCCCCTCTGAACGGCGAACAAAGTCGATATTCTGCTTAGCAGAGAATAGTACCTTCCATGTTTATTACGTAACTTGCTTTAAACACAGAATGTTCCTTGCATTTTTTTCTCAAAAATTTCCCTCTGGCTTGATGAGCGTGCGATATTAACAATTTAGGCGAATCAAGTAGAATAAAAAATTTGCAAAAACGAGCATTCACGCAACAGTTTACCTCGTTTATGGATCCGACGGTTTGAACAAAGCGCTAAATATAAATAATTTAATTCAGCACATTGTCAGCGCAATCACATTAGTTCTACCTCCCATTCAACGTTAGCACTTCTCAGCAGCTCGTTAACGATCAAAAGGCCACTGTGCATTCGGTCCTCAGCGACAATGTGCTGCGCCGTCTTCGCCTCGTTGAAACAGTGTAGCGCCTCTTCATAGCATAACTAAAATTATCGTAACAGTGAATGACCAATATGCAAATAAAGAGCTTCCTTGTTAAAGAATACGATACCTTGTAAAAGTAGTCTTTTTGCTGCTGCTCAGTTTCTCGCTGTGAGGTAACTACGAGCGCTGCTCGTAGCGCAGAGACCGCGTTTTCCCGCGTCGACGCCTAAACGAAATATGCAAAAACAGACGGCATGAGTTGCTGACCTTCCTATTACTCTGGAATCCTTTATGGCGCCGAATATACAGTCAAAGAACGCAGAGACGTGTTGAAAGAAAAACGTCGGTGTCACGTCTGCTAATTCTTTAAGGATCAACACCTTAAAGCATAGTTGGTTGTCTGCATCACACGCAAAAAAATGTTCGCCTACCGCCGCAAGACGCTTCAGGTCACTCTTGTCTGCATTCGTTGCTTGAAGCCATTCAAAGGCACACTTCATTTCGAAATCCAGATATTCGCTGGCATACAATCCACTGGACCACAATGCCATGTAGCCGCCTGCCCTCGCTGCCATTTCCATCACGCTTGCATCCGTCGAAGGAAGCATATTTCGCAGATAATTAGCGTGCCTGATTAGACGTGCAGTGTCCACGTTCCGCTCGTCCTTGGCAAGACACACTTACAAACATAGATTCGTTAGGTCACGATCACTGTCATACATGTAGTTCAGTCGAGATGGAAATGCCCCCTGTTAAAGGAGCAGACGGCAAGATTTAAACAATCATTTCTCTGGAGAACGAATGCAGGCTATGATTCTCTACCTTACCGCCTAGACGAGTACTCTGAGTATCCTTCTGTCAGGACATTACCTTGCAAAGAATGAACAGCTGTGTCTCTTCCCGCTACGACAGTGTAATTGATTCAACGCTTCAGTGTTTAAGACATGTCCGCAGAAGCTGAAAAGAGCGCACTACGATGTTTCGCGCGAGATTCAACCATCTGAATGTTGCGTCCCACGGTGTAGAGAAAAGCTGTTATTTCTAACAACTATCTATACGTAGTCAGTCACAACCTAACCTACTATCCATGCTGCAGAGAACAAGAAAATACCCAACTACAGAATAACATGAATAGCTAAAACACGGTATCTCATTTCCCTCAGGCAGCGCTGCCAATATGAACACTAGTCATGAACCCAGAAACGTTGGTCAACGAGTCTTTAGTTACAGTCACTTGGAAATTGCCGACCTTCCACTGCTAGACTACTGACTAGTTCTATCACTAGACCACGCATAAATTTACTTAGAAGGGTCTATATCCACTGCTGCTTATTCACTCATCACCGCTGATATCCAAATAAGATGGAAAGCGCCTAACTTCATACTCGACAAGCAGAAGCACTAGCGGCAAAAACTGATTCGGTTCAAAACGTACTGCTGGTAGAAAACAGCACGGGATGCTTTCCATTAGTCTCTGTCCGTCAATCAGAAATGGGAAAACGTGTGTTTCGCACAGCTCAAATTTCTCATCCACCTAAACCAAGATGGTAGTCTGTAAATAATGCACGTATTACTAACATGTTTTCCTAGTTACAACTCATATATCATGTTCATTATAAGATTCATATGAAACAGTGTTACAGAGAGCAAACAGCCTACCAATGATGAAAATAGCCGCTTTCATATCAGAAGATTCTTGGCTATAAGCTAGCTCGAACAATGCTCGATCAAATTTTTCATAGAACAGCTGAGTGGCCTCAGGAGGAACTTCTTTCAGGTCATAGCTGACGAAACTAAAAACGTATAGATTAGATTATTTTTCAGCTTCGATATATGGTCACATTTTTCGTAAAAAAAAATTCGCTGTAGTTATGACGATGCTCATTAGTGGTCATCTCAACGAAAGTACCTGATTTAGCAACTGCGCTGCATCTCTGAAAAGCGACGGAGCACAGAACCTTGAAATACAGATTATGGAGAAATTTACAGTGGTACGTGCGCCAGTTAAATTTACATTATCGAAGGTCACCATTCCTGTAACTGATTTGTAAAGGATTTACAAGAAAGCAGAACTTCCACTTATCAGTTCCAGCATATCGAGTTTGTACCAGCGGACCATATGTCAGATATCGTCCAACTCACCTTCACTAGTTAATGAATGTTACAGCGTGTAACGCCAAAC